GCGGTCATAGGATGCATGTGTGTGCTCCTAGAATTGTATGTGAAATTGCAGGAACCCGAATCCAGAAGTACTGATACCAGAATATCTAACATTGTATCTGTAGTAGCGATACGAGGTCTATGTATATATCCTATAGGGTTACATTGTATCCATTCAGCACATGTATGTATCATGTATGTATCATGTATGTATGTAGCATTGCAATGCGGTGAATTTTATTATTTTTTTTTTTTTTCCACCTTTTTGATTTTCCTTCTATTGTCTAATTGGGACCAGCTGTAGATTAGCCATATAAAAGCCGCCCCTCCCCCGGGTGCAGGTCGGGAATACACGGATCGCGGCACTCCTGGTACACGGCTGACACTGCTGGGATCTGTAACCGTTTATTTGGGGTGCGCTCCGCTGGTCGCAGGGTTTGTGTTTTATGGGATCTCATGACTTGTGGGGGGGTTTTTTTTTTCTTGCTGTAAGAATTGTATCGTCTGTGAGATTGGCACATAGACCAGATCAGTACCGAGTTCTATTCAGAATCCTGATCATCGCATTAATCGATGGATCTGACGTCCCCACGCACAGCGCACACAATTTTCTTGCCGTATGATTGCTGGAGAAGGACTATATTGAGCCAATCATAAGACCGCCCCATACACCACATTGCTGATTGGACCAATCCATTGTATCCTATTATTCCTGACCATAAACCGTCTTCTATGATCCCATCGCTTGCAAACGTTTCCTCCAGGATGTGTGAAGGATCTTAATTGTAAGACCGCCCCATACACATTGTTCCTGATTGTACAGATCTATTGATTGTACCGTTGGTTGTCGTTCAGAATCATACAATCCCATTGCACACAAATATTTCATTGCTGTTTTGAAGGATTCTATTTAAACAAATGTAAGAGCGCCCCATACACAGGAACGATGACCGCAGATCTAATCAATGTACCTGAATTCCGGATTCTAATTTTTGATTGCATTTTCAGAGATTGTCTCTAAGAGACGGTAAGATTATCACACCTACGATAAATCAGACTGTATTGTAGTATATGAAATGATTTTTGACTGGCAGGGAATATAGAAGACAGAAAAAGAATGGGGGGGGGGGGGGGGTAAAGGAAAGTAGATTCCTTGTATTGGAGTGTTAGCTCTTTGGCCAAATGGCAGCATTTTGTACAGCTGAATCGTGTGCTTCGTATGTCGGGTTCCTGGAGCCGTGAATGCTGCGAGCTCTGCAGTATCTGAAGGGTTAGCAGGGTGATGATCTGTCAGGCGATAAGATTTGATTGGTTATTTATACGAGATTTTCTTTTTCTGCTTTTATTGTAAGTCGCAGAGCAGATGTGAGTCTTGCGTGATAAAAGTCGACCAATCCTGCCATTAACTCGCCCACAGAACAATAATTGTAATGAAATCAGTTTGCATCTGGAACATTTGATGTCTCCATCTGCTGCTACATAATGGAGCTTCGACCGCTCCCCACCCCGGGGGTGGCAGGGAAGGGGTTAACAATGGCTGCCTCCAGCACATGTGCCACGGGATGCCTCCATTGTTCCTGGATGGAAGGCTCCTGACGCCTCGGTTGGGGTGTTTTCGCCCTGTTGGGGCACACGGGGGGTTAATGAGCCTCGGCTGGGTTGGGCAGCACACGGGGGGTTAATGAGCCTCGGCTGGGTTGGGGCACACGGGGGGTTAATGAGCCTCGGCTGGGTTGGGGCACACGGGGGGTTAATGAGCCTCGGCTGGGTTGGGGCACACGGGGGGGTTAACGAGCCTCGGCTGGGTTGGGGCACACGGGGGGGTTAACGAGCCTCGGGTTGGGTTGTGGGGGGGGTTAATGAGCCTCGGGTTGGGGCACACGGGGTTAATGAGCCTCAGGTTGGGTTGTGGGGGGGGGGTTAATGAGCCTCGGCTGGGTTGGGGCACGGGGGGGGGGGGGGTTAATGAGCCTCAGGTTGGGTTGGGGCACACGGGGTTAATGAGCCTCAGGTTGGGTTGTGGGGGGGGGGTTAATGAGCCTCGGCTGGGTTGGGGCACGGGGGGGGGGTTATGAGCCTCGGGTTGGGTTGGGGGGGGTTAATGAGCCTCAGGTTGGGTTGTGGGTGGGGGGTTAATGAGCCTCGGCTGGGTTGGGGCACGGGGGGGGGGGGGGTGTTAATGAGCCTCAGGTTGGGTTGGGGCACACGGGGTTAATGAGCCTCAGGTTGGGTTGTGGGGGGGGGGGGGGGGGGGTTAATGAGCGGCTCCTGGCCGAAGCCTTTTATCAGCTGTGAAAACTGAGGCCATTAAGGTGAATGGGAGCCAAAAGTGGCATTATCTGGGCTATGGAGGAGAGAAGGAAGGGGGGCGGTATTGATTTTGGGGGGTTTTGTTTTTTATGATGCTGCAGTTGGACCCGTATTGGATGTGATGAGATCTTTATATATAACAAAGACAATCCAGCAAACAATGGGCCTGTCATGGCTCCCTCCGGCCCCAACCATTGCTGAAGGACTGTAGACCTCAATGGCTGAAGTAAAGTGTGCTCAGGGCTCCTCCACGTGAAATCAAAGCGAATTACAATAGTTACCCATAGCAACCTGATTCTGAGTCAACCTTTTTTTTTTTTTTTTACCCATGAGGAACCCTCAAATGACATTTTCATGCTTTGGAGAACCCCTTTCTAAAACCAATTTGTTGCCATGGTGGTCAATGCCTCCTTTATAGATGGCTAAAAAGATAATTATTGTCATGCAGTAAGCATAGGCTCCAGAACAATGGCGGCACCATGAAATGGGAGGTCAATCGTCTCAGCTCGAGGTTCCCCCAGCAACCTTTGGAGGAACCTTTTTGAGATGGATTGCTGTAGTCCATGGTGATTGAGGAACCGGTCGTCTGTCAGATTGTGGCTTGTTGGGTGTTGATGACAAACGTTCTACTTTGAATGTGAGCTCCCTGAATCCAGAACACTGGAAGTCCTTGGAGATGACGTCTGGAGACTGGGAGTGCCTTACCAGATTTGATCTTTCAGAAGTTGGGAATTTGGTTGATTTTTGATTCTTTGGCCAACAGCTACAATTTTTCTCCATTTGTTGTAAATCTCTCCCAAGGAATCTGGTTACTCAGGGAAATGTCTTCACAGTGGAAGTGAACCCTACGATGTTGGGCGTCGTCATTGTTGGTGCGTTTTTTATGCGGTTTTTTTTTTTTTGTCTTTTTAGGAATGAAGGGTTTTTGTTTAGGTCAGTGGAAATCCAACAACTAGGAAGTCTGAGGGGCCAAAAATGTGTGATTGACCCCAAAAAAGATCAAGCGGGGGTAACAGATGTGGGCGGGTACAATAGAATAAACTGGAAACCTCATTGATGAGCTTCTGGTGTGACTGGGGTCTTGCAGTTGAGGATGGTGCCATGTTGGCCTTTTTGTTCTGCGGTTACCATGGTGCTGCACATGTAACGAGCCTTGGCATCGGCCGTTGGAGGACTTGGAAGTTTTTGGTTGAGAGCTGACACAAGCAGGCTGCCAACTGACAATTATCACCGTGGCGGTACGCCGTGACCGGAACTGACTTGGGGGGGGGGGGGGGGGGGGGATCTGTTTTTAGGTCTGCTCTGGTTTTCCTTATCTAGCTGCCTTCGTATTTTAGTGCCAATTTACAGAATCCAACTCCCATGTGGTTGTTATGGACAATGGTTTTCACCCCCTTTTTGTAGTTTTTGTGCTGGGGTTCCCCCCCCTCTATGGCCAGCTACCCAAAACATGTTCATACAATTGGGAAAGGCATGGATGGATTGGCTGGTCTGCTGGTTTATTGCATACCTTGGACAAGCCGAAGGGGGATTGGATAAGCAGATGTTGCCCTCGTTATCTGTCAGAATGATCCGTCGTTCCCGAGATGTAGGCAGATGAATCTGTATCCACATCATAGATCTTGGTGGCTCCTGGAAACGTCTCTAGGCTTTGCCTATTTGGTCCTTTTTTAAATATATGGTGGGTGGTCTCCTTCACTAATGAGGAGGCAGCAGGGCTAAACCCAACCCAAGTGTTGTAGGAAAGATCGAGGTTTTTATGGAGCTTCGACGACCCGCATCTCTAGGTCCCGGTAGGATAGCGATGTGAAAGCTGCCATTGCTGACTTGTGCTTGGAGGTGCATAGATCTGGGCTGTCCTTCTCCATCCCTGACTGCTAAGAATCTGACCTGGAGCAAGAACTTGCAAGTCTGATATCTGGCATCCAATGTTGGGGTCAGTGACTTCCCACAGCTCAGGTGGAGTAAAGATGCCTCCTGGACAACTCCACAATGGCAGCACACAGTCTGGTGGGGATTGATGGTACCGAGGCCTCCAATTGCTGCATGAAACCAGCATGAGACTTCAATTGTAAGCAACCTGATGCCTTGCAGGATCCTCTACAGAGACGTGTAGGCTGGACCTTCTGCTGGAGAGCCAACTGTCCATTCACACGGCACTCTTCCAGCACTTTGGTCGCTGCCCCCAAAGAGCATACAATAAAAAGTGGAACTACATGGCATCTGAGCACCAAAAAACACATTTTATTTCTCATATTCAAAGCAAACTTATCCATCCATCACCTTGCTGAGAAATCAATATGAACCCCCCCCCCCCACATTTTATCTCAGGCATGTGGGCAGGAGGGTGTGTTTAGCTGAGAAAAACCCCCCCCCCCCTCCTGGGATGTATGACCTCATTTGCCTAGGCCAGACACCAGGAAGTAAGTGAAGAAATGAAAACACTTAAATATATTCTCCTTCCTATCTATTACTAATACTAACAGCATAGGGATTAAGAATGGTCAATAGTGTATGAGAGAGTGAAGTTCCACTTTATGGTCCCTATCTGGTGTTCACACATACGAGGACCATTTTAGACCGTGTGGGAGGAGCCCAGAGTACCTAAAGCAACCTTTCATAACTTAACATGGAGGAACCCTTGAAATATCATTCCAGGCTCAGGGAACCCCTGCTAATATCCCTATAGCTACAGCTCACTGTACATTAGAGTGGGGGTCAATGGGAAGAATGTCCCTTACATTGGTGATCAGTGAGAAGAATGTCCCTTACATTGGGGGTCAGTGAGAAGAATGTCCCTTACATTGGGGGTCAGTGGGAAGAATGTCCCTTACATTGGTGGTCAGTGGGAAGAATGTCCCTTACATTGGGGGTCAGTGGGAAGAATGTCCCTTACATTGGGGGTCAGTGGGAAGAATGTCCCTTACATTGGAGGTCAGTGGGAAGAATGTCCCTTACATTGGGGGTCAGTGGGAAGAATGTCCCTTACATTGGGGGTCGGGTGGTAAGAATGTCCCTTACATTGGTGATCAGTGAGAAGAATGTCCCTTACATTGGGGGTCAGTGGGAAGAATGTCCCTTACATTGGTGGTCAGTGGGAAGAATGTCCCTTACATTGGTGGTCAGTGGGAAGAATGTCCCTTACATTGGGGGTCAGTGGGAAGAATGTCCCTTACATTGGGGGTCAGTGGGAAGAATGTCCCTTACATTGGGGGTCAGTGGGAAGAATGTCCCTTACATTGGGGGTCGGTGGGAAGAATGTCCCTTACATTGGGGGTCGGTGGGAAGAATGTCCCTTACATTGGGGGTCGGTGGTGGTAGAATGTCCCTTACATTGGTGGTCAGTGGGAAGAATGTCCCTTACATTGGGGGTCAATGGGAAGAATGTCCCTTACATTGGGGGTCGGTGGGAAGAATGTCCCTTACATTGGGGGTCGGTGGGAAGAATGTCCCTTACATTGGTGGTCAATGGGAAGAATGTCCCTTTCATTGGGGGTCGGTGGGAAGAATGTCCCTTACATTGGGGGGTCAGTGGGAAGAATGTCCCTTACATTGGGGGTCGGTGGGAAGAATGTCCCTTACATTGGGGGTCGGTGGGAGAATGTCCCTTACATTGGGGGTCGGTGGGAAGAATGTCCCTTACATTGGGGGGTCGGGTGGGAAGAATGTCCCTTACATTGGGGGGTCGTGGTGGGAAGAATGTCCCTTACATTGGGGGTCGGTGGGAAGAATGTCCCTTACATTGGGGGGTCGGTGGGAAGAATGTCCCTTACATTGGGGGGTCGGTGGGAAGAATGTCCCTTACATTGGGGGGGTCGGTGGGAAGAATGTCCCTTACATTGGGGGGGTCGGTGGGAAGAATGCCCCTTACATTGGGGGGGTCGGTGGGAAGAATGCCCCTTACATTGGGGGGGTCGGTGGGAAGAATGCCCCTTACATTGGGGGGGTCGGTGGGAAGAATGCCCCTTACATTGGGGGGGGTCGGTGGGAAGAATGCCCCTTACATTGGGGGGGTCGGTGGGAAGAATGCCCCTTACATTGGGGGGGTCGGTGGGAAGAATGTCCCTTACATTGGGGGGGTCGGTGGGAAGAATGTCCCTTACATTGGGGGTCGGTGGGAAGAATGCCCCTTACATTGGGGGGGTCGGTGGGAAGAATGCTCCCCATACATGTGGATAAAAAGATCATTGGTGTCCATGGTTGAGAGAGGCTGACCTACAGGAAACCCACACAGGAAGAACATGCAAACCCCATGCAGATAGTGCCCTGGCCAGGATTTGAACCAGAGACCCCAGGGCTGCAAGGCAGGTGTGGTAACCACTGAGTCTCTGACGTGGAATGAATATCCAGCAAGTGGAGTGAAGTAGGAACAACTGATCAGCATACGTATTGGGGATCAGTGACTTGGTTGAAGCCAGTGGATGAGCATGAGAGGTTGTGGAGAGATCCTCGACGTTTCTCTTGGCACAAGGTTTTCCAATGGATATTCGAATGGATTGAAAGATCCAAATATCATCACACTGTGCTTCCAGGAAACCCCGGTATCTGAAGAGGGAAAAGAACTATTTGGAATGTTTGGTTCCTGACACATCTTTGCTTGACATGTATGATGTGATAATGTGACTCAGACGTGTGCATGTTGTTGTACTTCGAAGGTTTAAACTTTAGGAAGGTCATCAAGGAGCACGAGGTCATGAGTGGACATACATTGGGGTTGGTGGGATCACATGCAATCTGTGTGACATTCATAGGTCTTGGCTTTAGTATGACACCATACAGATTTCATTCGTGTCGAGCAGGAAACATGGCGGTGCTTTGTGAGGTCACGTCTGTGTAGGAGGAACACTTGCACTTGGTCATAGTCGTAGAACATGGAGAGTAGAGGAATGAATGGTTAGGATTTGATTGCTCAAGATAAGCAGTTTCTACAGACATGAGGAGAAATGAGCCCCAGTTATCAAATTCTAGAAGAAGACTGGATTGACCCTTCCTTTCCCAATGTGTCTCCAATTGGCTGGACACTTTCCTGGTGAGCTCACAATGAGATCAGTTACTTGACTGTCGATGATGAAGCATTCGTTGTGTGTCCATGGAGTCCTCCTGTAATGGACAGCTGTGCCGTTGTGTGGTCACGGTGGCATTCCTTCCCAGAAAACACTGGTGGGGGTCGTCCACATGGTGATGAAATGACGATACCGAGCTGTATTGTCTGGTCAGGAGAGGAGATGGTAGTGAGAGGGAAACTAATTGAGCATCTCGGGGTCTTTGAAAAGGTCTTCCAGTTACTCAGATTGTCCGTATTCTTCAAGGTCACTTCTACAGACGAAGTCATTTATTCTGGTAAGTCGAGTTCCCCGATAATGCCGTTCAGTCCTGGCGGCAACTGTCTATGGATCTGAGACGGGGACAGTTAGTGGTGTAGATGGGATGAGGTCCTAGTGCATAGCTCCCAACGGTCCTGGATCCGGAACTAATTCCCTCCTTCCTTGTTTGTCCCTCATTTTGGTCTGATCCGCATACTTGGATATAAAATGCACTATTTGTCTTTCAACGATTATTGCAGAAAACTAAACGTTTCATCCAAATATAAAGGAATAGTGATAAAACAAACAATTGCGGGTTTAACTAGTCCCATTATTTGTCTAATTCTCCTTTAAGGGGGCGTGGCAGGGGGGGGCGGGGGGGTGTACTATGCCTACATGCATTTTTCCAATCTGTGTCCCTGGTTCCAATCTCATATTTGGGAGGTAGACTGTTGCAGTATATGCTAGAACTTTGGAAGGTTTAATCGGGTGTATTTACCACAAGGCATTTGCCTAGGGTGGCATTTTTCAGGGGGGGCAGCACTGCCCCTTAGAAGAAGGGACACACGTGGCATGGGGACCTGGTGTGTTCCAAGAGGAGATGCTGTGGGTTTCATGATGGTGTATGCACAGCCTGACTCTCATCCCTGGGGATGTCCGGAGTTGAGGGCAGGGGTGTTCTTGGTCAATGTCAGGCTCTGTGTGGGTGTGGTGGGTGGGGGGGGGGTGCCAATTTTTGTTACCTAGGGCAGCCCAAAACCTAAATACACCACTGGGTCTAATTTAGCATGTAGTAGTCTGTGCACAGGGTCACTTTAAGGGATAAAAGTATTTGCATGATCTGTACAAGCATTTTACAACAGGCTCTCATTCACCTCTGTAGCTAAAGGCATTGTGCAGAAATTCCTTTCCAAAATTTACAGGAGAAATGCTAAAATCTTGGATCTTTCCAATTCCTTTCTATTGCAGATGAATCTTGGCAACCTTCCAGTCTTCTAATGGAAACGAACACTGGACAGACTTTAGTGTCTTTGAGAATGAATTACTTCACAGTACATACGGCTCTGGAGGGGTGACTTTTACCACTTCTTGGATGCTTGTTTCATGTCGTTATAGTAAGGTGTGAGAGACCTTTTTACTCTGAGGGGCACAAAAGAGAAATGATTGTAATCTCCGTGCAGATCCTGCTGCTGCACCAACAATGGCTGCCATGTTGGAAGTCTGTGGCTCAGAACCGTAGCCCTTCTGTAGTAGAGGTCCATTCACCCCACAACGCAATCTGCTGCTATCTTCATACATTGAGTGGTGTTGTGTTGGGCTATTTGATATTGAATGGGTTGTCCAGGCACAAGGAATCGGTTCTGCGGGATTTTTCAAGATGCAATGTACTGCAGGGTGCAGAGCTTCACACCTGTACACTATGGGGAGCAGCACCCTGTAATTGTGTGTTGGGGTGCAACTGACCATGAATGGTAATGGAAGCCCTAAGCAGTGGTGACGAGGATTCTGAAGGATTGGCTAACCTTTTACCACCTTGTATATTTAAGATGTAGCACCCCCCCCCCCTTTTACTGACACCCTTCCTGCTGAATGCTCTTCTCTTGCTGGGAAATGGTCCTCAGAAGCCCCCGGAGAGTCATTTCCAGGAGTGTTGATCTCTTGGACCCCCCCCTGCATCTCTCAATGGTCTCTCCTGCTGACCTCCACGTCATTACAAGATCCAGTATTGATGGAGATCAGCAGGAGGAAGCAGTGACAGCTGCTGGGGGACCATCGGAGAACCACTTCCCAGCAATGGCGTGGCCTTCAGCCGTGCAGACGAGTACTCTATACAGAGACTTTTCCTTAGTAGAACTACAGGGCAGCTTTGGGAAAGTTTTCTGATTAGAATTAGGAGGACGGCTGATACTAATGTGTTTTTGAAGGCGGAAGATTTGAACCTTCCATCCTTGCATTGCTTCACAACGGAGGGTGACTCTGAGGTTCCGTTTAATGTCCAGCATGCCTCTGCGTAGAACGGACGTTCCTTCACCAATACAGAGAAATATCCCGTTCCCAGCTATGGAGGTTTAATGTCTTCACTTGACAGAGAAACTCAGAGGCTTCCTTTTGGTTTCCGTATTTGAGACCATGAATGAAGGGAATGCATTAAGGTAAAATAACCCCCCAGCCCTGACAACCACTTGAAGGAAAACCTTTGTGTAGATCATGTAGGACTAAGCAAGAGGTCCCTTCAAGAGACGTCTCCGCCTTCCTTCTCCATGGCTCTGGTCAGTTACTGGGGCACTGAAGTCCTGTGTGAGCTTCCAATGGGTGGAGAACTCTTCCTGTCCCGATGTGACGGTGCTGGGCCACCAGTGCTGTCATGTAAGGGGATTGAGTCACAAGCTCCTCCCATTCCTGAAGTACCGGATATTTCCATCACTTCTGGTGGCAGAATGAGGCAGCGGGGAGAAGGAAAGCTGAGCCGATGCCACAGAGTGGTGGGGTGGGGGAGGGATTAGACCAAACCTGTTGCTTTGTCTGCAATGGATGCACAGACTTGATTTAGAGCTGAACTACAGACAACAGCTCAACACACACAAATGTGAGGAACCAGCTTACCTGCCATAGGATTTGTATCTGTCCATTCAGAGCTGAGATTTAAACAGCTCTGCCACACAGCACAGCCCTGCCTGGCCAGGCAGAAGACCCGATTTTACTGCACTGCAGTTAAGTAACACTCCCCAGGTCTTGTCCCTCCCGCATCCTGCACACAAATGAGCTTCTTACTGTTTGTTTCCTCCTCAGAATGCTGCTTCTCACCCCCAGTCTGAGCTCTGCTGCACATGGATTGCAAGAGACTGACCCCCGACACCCTCTGTAGTACAAGAGGCATTCACGGCTGTGAATGATGGCGATGTGTCACATTGCAGACTCCAGATGAGCATACATGAATGTATTCCGGTTCTACCATGTGAAGTAGCGCAGCACTGCTCCGAGTTCATGGATATGAATGGCAGACGCATCGTACATCACATCTGTAAGAAGACGGAATCTCGCCCGCTAGTGTTCTCTGATGGCCGGCCGGAGCAGCTCATGTCTCCATGTGGTCAAACATCAACCACAATTCATGTTAATGTGTCTCCCGGGGAGACCACCAGCCATAAGGGGACTGCGGGCCTTCCTCACTGGATGTGGTGAGAATTCTAGGCCCCCCCA